AAAAGGACAGTGAGAGTTGACAGCCCTGTAAAAAAGAAGGCAAAGTAAAGATTGCAATATTTCTTTATTTGAAAATCTGCCATCCAGGACATGACTTCCCTAAGGCTTCAAGGCACTAAAACATCTCCAAACAGCAAAATCATGATAATAGATTGCATTTTGTTGGATCTGTGTCTGTTCATCACATGTTTTATTAACTTTTATAGAATTGTATCTGCCTTGGAATCCCCAGTTTCAGCCTCCAATCTCTGATGAAAGTGAAAACTGAAGGAGTTTTGGTGAAACTTTGTTTTAATGTTTTAATTAGATTGGAAAAGCCCCTGATGTTATCTTCCCTCCTAAATCTTCAAAGCAGCATTGATTATTTAATTGCTTTGTTGTTGTTATTCACACCGTACTTGGATAACAGCAATGAAACAATACATTCAGTTCACAGCACGAAAAGCTTTGATCAAAATATTCAGAGCAAATTCTAGTTCTCCAATCATTATTATTTTCACCACACAGAAGAGGATTTATGATAATCAGATTTTTTGTTTTAGCATGTAATGAGTAACAGCAGAGATGTGATATAACAGTACAGCAGTTCTGAGCTTCTACTGATCCAGGATCTGCAGCCTGAGGCTCCAGAGCCACAAGCGTGTCTTAGCTCTTCCATGTGCTGCCGCTCTTTGTGTTGCTGAAAAAATAAGATTGAAATCAGTTTAAAATGAAGGTAAGGTATCTTTTAAACTTACTGCATTAGCTTCATTTTTTTCAACAAGGCTATATTTTAGTTTTTATCTTAATACATTTTTAACCTGAGCTTTTTCTGTAAATTTCATTAATCTATTTATTAGAAATTTCATAGCTAACTGATTTTGATAAATTAACTGTAATAAATTCCTTTTCCTTTAAGAAGTCCGATACTTTATGTATAGTTAGATACATAGTTAAAAAAGGGGAAATAAAGCAGGGCTTGTTAATTTTTATAGTAAAACTACCTTCGACATGTGGTTAGCTGAAAAAATATTAAAAATCTTTTTATCAAAGTCAGTTTTTCAGCTCTAGATCAAATTTATTTTGAAGCTACACGGGCAGGTAAGAAACAAAAAGTCCTTGTTTAACAATAAATAAATGAAATAGGGTCAGTTTTGGTCTCCATTCTTTAGTAGATTCTGTAGATCAGCTCTAATAACCGACAGCATAGAGGTTTGGGTTTCTGTGTACAGATGATGATCACCTGTAGATCTAGAAGTGCAAGGTGAATGACTTCACCGGATGCTTCATCATCTGCTGAGCTGTTTATACAATCACTGAATGACATCATTATATAAAGACAAAGCATTTTTAAAGGCATTTTTAACTAAACAGGACAGGTTTTTTTTTATTTCTCCTTAGAGAAATCAGTTTGAACCATAACAATTTGCTTTCATGTAGTGAATTAAACCATTTAAAGGTTTTCTTCAACATTTCAGTTACTTTGGCTGAAAACAAAGAAGGGTAACAGGAAAAAAAAGGTTGCCAGAAAGAGAAAAGTGGATTTCCTGTTTTCTTTAGTTTCTTCCACAAAATTAATAAAATCCTGATGTGGAAATCCAGAGTTTATAATCAGGTTGTGTTTTTGTCTTATATGGAGCTTCAATATGTTCGTTCTTTGACTTCACCCTTTTTTCTTATTTACTGGTAGGAGTGAAGCAGGTGATCGAATAAATGATGCAGCAATAGAGAAAGGCATGAAAGATGACTGGGACAGAGGACAAGATGAGGACACAGGAGAGTAACGTCACTTTAAGACAGAGGTTAAAGCTTCAGATTGTTCAACATTTATTGCTGAGTCAAATATTAGCCTCTGGGAACACATTTGCTGCAGAGTCCAAACTGCTGATGTCACCAACCTGAAGAAGAGTTTCAACATTGAGGCTATTTTTAATTCTCACATGTATCTGTGGTTTTCGTTCCAGCTAACTTTGTTCTACATAAATACTTTTAAAACTGGTTTATTTAGTTTAAAAAAAATGTGGAAGTGGTTTCACGTGACATGCCATCACTGCTGAATCAGGTGTTTCCGTGACAGCTAATCCACGAGTTTAAATTATGTATGATTCTACATGTAATCTCCATAAAATCCTAGACGTTGTTTTAAAGAGATATCTGTTTGATAAAGAGTTCACAAACACGAGACAATTAACATTTAACTAAATTAAATAAGGCAATAAAATATCCAAATACATCATTATAAGAACTTAAATGATATATTTAATGAAAGAACCAATGAGCTGTGATGATCTAGAACAAAGGATCTGTTATAATAAAATACTCTAAGTCATAAAATCATTGGTCTTTGGGTTCTTTTCCATCAAAGCGGTTTTATTTCTAGAGAATTACAAAAGTTCTATATAAATAACATAAAAGCTAAACACATAAAGAAAGCTTTACAGTAGATTAACTTCAAATATATATTTTTTTCTACCTGCTCAGCCGACTCAGCCTGGGTTTATCTGGGGTCATTCTATCACTGTGAACTGCTACGTTCCATTGTTAGGATTCCCAGCGGTAAGCTTTGCCATCAGGTTTAGGAAAATTAAGGCTAGAGATTGAAACCGTTGATGTTTTAGATAGCAGTTTGAAATGAACAATTAAAAGCAAAAATTAAAACAATCATGTTTCCAAAATGACATCAGGGTTTCAGCATCTTTTCAGTCTTCTGGGAGTTTGCTTCAGATAACTGGGGCAACTGAATGCTGCTTCTATGTTCTTAATCCTGGAGATGCAGATTTATAGACTAACAGAAGTATTTTCTATTTTCTCTCTGAGTTTCATAGGGTATGTTTACTATGTTGAACTTCGTTGTACGTAGTGATTTGCTATAACTTCTGGGCTTTAAGGCCAAACTCTCTGCTGTTCTTTGACTTGTCACACTTTAATCTAAATCTTTCAGGCTCTGATTACAAGCTCTGATTAAGAATTATTTACTCCCATTTCATTTGCCAGCTTAAATTAATCTGATCTTTAAATAACTTTGTAGAATTCCTTAGATCATACTGCTTACTGATAACATTTTTATGACATGATGATCAAAGGCCTTCTAAATATGGAAACAACTTGTAACCTTTAGCAAACTATAACCTAAGTTTAGCAACAGTAATTACAGCTGAAGGTATTTATAGGGAGGGAGGTCAGGGAGGTCAACATCAAAGCATTGATACTACACTTAGAGCTTCCTGCTGTGGGTTGAACTCCATATTCTGCAGATTAGTAATGTTCCATTCAACAACCTTTCTCCCACCCCCACAGAGCTCCACGTGGGAGTTTCCTGTTAAAGGAGTATCAAGATAGATTTTATTTTTTCCTCCTGTGTTGTGGCTGCATTTCTCTCTGTGTGATCATCACAGTATAATCTATCAAGAGGTCTCCGACTTATTTCAGAAAAGCTGTAAGGTTATGGAGTCCTGGATATTTTTAGTCGAATTGATTACTGCAACAGTGTTTTCACAGGCCTGCCTAAGAAGTGGATCAGACAGCTGCAGCTGATCCAGAACGCTGCTGCCCATGTCCTCACTAAGTAGAAAGTAGAGCACATCACCCCAGTTCTAAAGTCCTTACACTGGCTCCCTGTATCTCAGAGAATAGACTTTAAAATACTTCTGTTAGTCTATAAATCTCTGAATGGCTTAGCACCTAAATACATCACAGACTTGCTATCAGTGTATCAACCCTCCAGACCACTCAGGTCTTCTGGCTCCAGCCTGCTCTGCAGACCTAGAACCAGAACTAAACATAGAGAAGCAGCATTTAGTTCCTATGCTCCACTTATCTGGAACAAACTTCCAGAAAACTGTAAAAATGTGGAAAGCCTGAGTTCCTTTAAATCAAGGCTAAAAACACATTTGTTTAGGATTGTCTTCGACTCTTCTAGTTAAACAGTTCAACTGAAACATCATTAGTTCAACTTTTTTATTTTTTTTAGTCCAACTGTTTTTAATCTTTTTTGTTTCTGCATTTTTCATTTTTTTCCCTACTTGCTTTGATTCTGTTTTATTTTCCTTTATTTTAATCATGTAAAGCACTTTACACTGTCTTTGTACTGAATTGCTATACAAATAAATTTGCCTTGCCTAGCCACGCCTTGGACAGAGTCAGGTCTCTTTGCCTTTATGTTGATGAAGGTGCTTTCAGCATCACAGGTTATTTGAAACAATAATGTGTTCAGATAACTTAATTCACACTTTAGATGTTTACATCTGGCAGATATAACCATAACTCACTCTAACCTGAACTTTGGGATTTTCTGTAAATAAAATCCTTTTCATGAGCTCCTGCTCTTAATTATCTTAATTTTTGTGGTCTAGCTTTGCAGCAGCATTAGTGTATCCTGGATAAAAGAATATATAAAGTATTCCACTTGTTTCTATTGTGATGTGCAGCCGAATAATTTAATGTCCAATGTTGTAGAATCCTAGCCTGACGTAGTCCGACTCAATTCTAGTCAGAATATGAGTCTGATTCTGCTCCATAGAGCTGTGATTATGGGGCGTGTTTCGAACGAACCAGGAAAAAAATGCCTCTGCACTCAATTGGATAGACCTACAACCAATAAGAGCAACGGAGTGCGTGACGTATGTTAAGCGAGGCATAGTTGTTGTCCACAAAAATCAAAGCGTGCAGTTTCACGCCTAGAATAAGAAGATGAGACTTGATCGCGTTTCTCTGTTCCTCTTTTAAAATTAATTTGCTGTCGATATCTTCTAGAACAGACCTAATAGCAGAATCTACTCACCCAAACTCTCCAGCGGCAGCCATTGTTGTTGTCACCCAAGCGCGCTTTGGTCCCGTGGTTGATAACGTTACTCTTGATCATCTGTCCATCATCTTATAAAGCCCGCCCTGACAATTTGATTGGATCGCCTGACAGTGGGCTTTAATACTCGCGCTACTATGGAGCAGAGCCAGACCGAACTTCCCCGAACTCAAACCTTGTGGGCGGGACTAAGTTCGGACTGGCACCCAGGCTAGTAGAATCCCGCCTTGATGTAGTTGGTTCTTCTGTTGCCAGGAAGGTTATGAATATTTGTTTATTCTTTTAATAACTATTTGTACGCCCTGTTTTTCCCCTGGAAACTTCGCTCAAATGTTTAAAAATTTTACAAGCAGCAGTTGCTGGAGTTGGAAAAATTGAACTTTTGCTACTTGACACACTGTTAGGGTTCCAGTTTGTGTGGGTTGTTTGGTGTTCTCTTTTTGTGTCTCTATCCATCCACTTGATAGTGCCCTCGTTTCTCTGTTGGCCTGGAGAGCCTCTTCCTGGTGTCAACCACCCACACCTGGTCATTTGGTCATCACCATCAGAGGAGTATATAGGCAGCGGACTGTCACCTCCTCTACGCCAGAGTGTTTGAACCAAGGAGCAACCACAAACTATTATAGTGAGTCCTGTTCTGGCTATTCTTCTGCATTGGCCTACTTTCCCTTGGACCTTGAACTCACCACTCTGATCTCCCCCTAGAGTTTCCGGTTCCGGTTCATCTGACCGCTGGATATTCCCCAAGCTGAGAAACCCATGTTTTGTCTCTCTGAGGACCACTGTTTGTCTCTCTGAGTTCCACACCATGCAATAAACTGTTTAACTTTTACCCAGCCTCTGAGTTGTTTCTGCATGTGGGCTAATATTGAAACCCATCATGACACACACCACGTCAACCAATCAGAGAAGCTGATCTGGGAGCTGGCAGCGGGACAGACACAGCGTTGCTGATGCAGATCGCTATGATCACTCCACTTGAACAGTTTATTAACGCCTAAATTAACTTAAAATGTCTAAACCTGCCAGCAAAATATATTCACTGTTATCATTCTGGTGTTTGTAGTTCTAGTCACATACAAGAAAAACACTGACATCTATTTCCAGCCACCACAAACCCCTGAAAACCCCTGAGAGGCGACCGAGCCTGAGGCATCTGCTGCTGGGCATTCCCAATGACAGCACACCGCACAGAGAAATAATATTTTAATGCAGGTTCGTAATCTCTGACAGCACAGACAATGTTTTGAGGTGGACCTTCTCACTTAAAAATATAATAAAACTACTTTTTACTTACCGATCACAGCAAATATAGCAAAGCCGCTCTCTGCCATTGAAGACAGGAGCAGCAAAAGCATCAGATGCCTCTGAACACATTTTACTGAAAGGGCTTCAGGAGCATCAAAAATGCTCTTAAGGTGGTACCTTAATGTGTACAAGAATCAAAAATGAAGCAGCAGGTGCTTTTTTGCTGCTCAAATCGTGGTGTGAACATAGCATTACACTGTCTGATTGTATAACATAATATTGTAACTAAAAATAATCTCGTGTTCCTTATCAAATTTCCACCTCTAGTCAAGCACACATACTTCCCATAATCACGACAAAACTAGTGTTGTAATAAAGACAAAAATGTAGATGCATTACACCTCAAAATGTAGGAAATATCATTGCAGAGAGTCTAAATTTCAGTTTGCCAGGGAGGGTACCCCCTGACCTCCCCACCATGCAAAACTTAAAGATGTGACACATCAAGGTGTACAGCCTATAAAATTATTCCTAGTTGAAAGCCTGACTCTGATGGTGGAAATGTCTTTTTGCTCAAATTTTAAGCATCTCCTGCTGCATATAAGAATATAACTCTTGCAGAAAATTTGAGCCCAACACAGATCATCTGTGTAATATTAATAATTGAGCTTTTTTGATCTCACATTGGAGAACTTGACCTCTGCATTTAACCTATCCATTTGGGCAGCAGTGGGCTAACACCGAGGGGGGCCCAGGGGGCAGTGTGGGCTAAGGGTCTTGCTCAGACACAGAGTGGCAGTCTTTGGGAGTTGAAGTTAGAACCTCAAGAATCCGAGCTCTACAGGTGCTGGTCATAAAATTAGAATATCATGAAAAAGTAGATTGATTTCAGTAATTCCATTTAAAAAGTGAAACTTGTATATTATATTCATACATTACATACAAACTAATATATTTCAGATGTTTATTTTGTTTAATTTTGATGATTACAAATGACAACAAATGAAAATCTCAAATTCATCATATCAGAAAATTAGAATATTGTGAAAAGGTTCAAAATTGATGGCCCCTGGTGCCACACTCTAATCAGCTAATTAACTCAAACCACCTGCAAAAGCCTTTAAATGGTCTTTCAGTCTAGTTCTATAGGCTACACAATCATGGGGAAGACTGCTGACTTGACAGATGTCCAAAAGACGACCATCAACACCTTGCACAAGGAGGGCAAGACACAAAAGGTCATCGCTAAAGAGGCTGGCTGTTCACAGAGCTCAGTGTCCAAGCACATTAATAGAGAGGCGAAGGGAAGGAAAAGATGTGGTCGAAAAAAGTGTACAAGCAAGAGAGATAACCGCACCCTGGAGAGGATTGTGAAACAAAACCCATTCAAAAATGTGGGGGAGATTCACAAAGAGTGGACTCCAGCTGGAGTGAGTGCTTCAAGAACCACCACACACAGACGTATGAAAGACATGGGTTTCTGCTGTCGCATTCCTTGTGTCAAGCCACTCTTGAACCACAGACAGCGTCAGAAGCGTCTAAAGAGAAACAGGACTGGACTGCTGGTGAGTGGTCCAAAGTCATGTTCTCTGATGAAAGTAAATTTTGCATTTCCTTTGGAAATCAAGGTCCCAGAGTCTGGAGGAAAAGAAGAGAGGCACTTCATCCACGTTGCTTGAAGTCCAGTGTAAAGTTTCCACAGTCAGTGATGGTTTGGGGTGCCATGTCATCTGCTGGTGTTGGTCCATTGTGTTTTCTGAGGTCCAGGGTCAACGCAGCCACATACCAGGAAGTTTTAGAGCACTTCATGCTTCCTGCAGCTGACCAACTTTTTGGAGATGCAGATTTCATTTTCCAACAGGACTTGGCACCTGCACACAGTGCCAAAGCTACCAGTACCTGGTTAAAGGACCATGGTATCCCTGTTCTTAATTGGCCAGCAAACTCTCCTGACCTTAACCCCATAGAAAATCTATGGGGTATTGTGAAGAAGAAGATGCAATACACCAGACCCAACAATTCAGAAGAGCTAAAAGCCACTATTAGAGCAACCTGGGCTATCATAACACCTGAGCAGTGCCACAGACTGATCGACTCCATGCCACGCCGCATTGCTGCAGTAATACAGGCCAAAGGAGGCCCAACTAAATACTGAGTGCTGTACATGCTCATACTTTTCATGTTCATACTTTTCAGTTGGCCAACATTTCTATAAATCCTTTGTTTTTATTGGTCTTCAGTAATATTCTAATTTTCTGATATGATGAATTTGGGATTTTCATTTGTTGTCATTTGTAATCATCAAAATTAAACAAAATAAACATCTGAAATATATGAGTTTGTATGTAATGTATGAATATAATATACAAGTTTCACTTTTTAAATGGAATTACTGAAATCAATCTACTTTTTCATGATATTCTAATTTTATGACCAGTACCTGTATGTCCTAACCACTAGGCCACCACTCCCCACAGAGTAAGGGTAGAGCCATGGCTCTGTTCTATACAGTGGTGAATTTTGAAGATTTGAGTTAAAGAAATCTCTAGATGTCAGAGGAGGGGTCCTAAGATGGTGCCTTAGGGATCACCATCTAATTTCTCTGGTATCTGATTTTGAAGTTCCCCACTCTCATGATCCTGCCCTTTGAGGACTTTTTGAGTTTTAATTTACATTTTAATGCATACCATTCTGTTTTATTGGTAATTGTTTCTTTTTCATTTTGTGTCATTGCCTTTGTTTTCTATTCTTTTTTAAGCAGTGTTGTGATTTTGTGTTACTCTCTGGTGCCCCCTTGTGCCGATTTCCTTTCCCCTTGGCTCCCTTCTAGTTACTTCTATCCACAACTCTTCCATATCAGCTCCTTGTCCCTTTCTTTGTTCTGTTTCCCATATATACACCACCCTTTTTACCCTGGATTTTTGCCTGTGTTGCCTCTGGAACCTCAATTAAATCAGCTAAACTTATTTCTTCCTCCTCATCTCTGCATTGGGTCCCCTAAAGCCTCCACAACCTGACACCCACCAATAAAAGATTCCTGTCCTTCAAGTAGGATTTAAGCCAGTCCAGTTTGGTATCAACTTTTCTAGGTGCTCTAATGAAGGCAAGTGATCAACAGTGTGAAATGCTGCCCTGAGGTCCAATAATACCACTATTGTGGTTCTTCCACATTGTGAATATAAGCAGATGTCACTAAAACACCTTAAAAAAGGCTGTACTGTCGTTAGCATAGAATTAGGTTAGAACTATAACATTCCATCAGTCATGTTACACTACAGTAGGTTAGGAAACAGCGACAGGTAGTGCTTTGGCTCCCTCTAGTGTTAATAAGTTGTAACAGCCCTAACAACAGAAAATGGCTCGAACAAGGTGCCTATAAATCATAGTGAAAAATTAATCACTGTTTATTTGTGTTATTATATGTATAGAACACTTTGAAAATGTTCTTAGTCTAAATGTCCTAAGAAAAGTATAGCCTTCTATGACAGGCTGTGTATGATTTTCCTCTTACTGTCCTGGAACCTGGTGGCCTGGATTTGCTGTGCAATTTGAATAATGATAAGCAAAATGGGAGATTTATTTCAGAAAAAAACATTTCTTCTATTTAAGTTTTTGATTTCAGCCTATTTTTTTCTTTATGCTGCTTTTCCAACTTGTTCATAGGGCACTGAAGATGCCAGGTGAGAGCCTCTGATGGATGAGGTGTTGTTATTGTACCTGAACTCTGAACACAAACACCTCACCCATACACACATTAACAAACAGTGAAAAATACAGTGTTTGACAAATCGAATGAACCTTAAACATGTTAGATTTATTCAGCTTCATTGCTGGGTCCTTGCAAAGATTTGTTATGAACAGTAGGCAGATGGATAGAAACATCTCCTCTCTGCTGCATCCATCTCCTGCACTTCCTTTTTTTGCCTCACTGTTAACGAAGTCCATTTCTATTCGTTTCAATCATTCTTCATTTTTCCTTTTGAATGGAGCCCTTCATATCTCCCCTTATCATGGAAACTGTCAGAATGACCCTGAGAGACGATGCTCTGATCCACCTATGTAGCCATTCTCTGATTACAACAGAGTAAAAAAAAAAAAAAAAAAAAAAAACAAATACATGAAATATCAAGATTCCCCCTAATCAAGGATTAGTTTTTTTTTTTTTTAATGGTCCCAAACATATAAACCATTACTGTCTTTTGATAAAATGCATTGAGGGGGGAAAAATACTGCTGAAATGTCTGATTTTCCTCTTCCTGGAGATAAATCCACAGCATCTGATTGTGTTTTGATGTGAAGTTTGTTGGGTTCCTGCAGAGACTGACTGCAAACAGGAAAACAGGAAAAACCTTCATAAGAACAAGAAAAGGTCCAGTGAGAAACAAATAGCCTGTTAGTTGTGCATTGAGAGTAAAAGTCCTCCAGTATTTGTTGATAAACGAGAGGAATAAACTTTGATTTCAAATCAGTTAACTTTATACAGAGAAGACAGAATAAAAATGGAAAGAAAGTAGCGATAATTTACATTTAAACATTGAAATTACTCCTGGTTTCCTCAACAGCTTCTAAGGTATCATTAAGACT